TGGGACTGGCTTTTTGTTATGTCATTGGACAGTCTTGAATAATAGGATGGAATAGGGACTTAAATAATTGAATCCTGTCCACACAGTAATTTTGTCTCAGCTTGCCCTTGATTGCCAGGAAAGTAATTGTTCAAAATTGAAAAGTTGGTTGGCTCAGAGTTGACTCGGGGTTCAACAGTCTTAGCAATTTAGCTGGACTGAAAAGAATCTGCCTTTCTTACAAAGCAAAGTGTGCATGATTCAGTGCATTGTGAGTAGGTTTTTAGATTTCTGTTTTTAAAAAAAAATGGGCTTTTAACATTAGGCTAGGAGCAGTAAACTCATTAAAAATGTGACTTCTGTTAATTTGCCTTGCTCTGGGATGAGACTAACAATACAAGTAATTATTTAGGAACATGGCAAGTGCATCTTTTATTGTCATAGTAATTCATGATGTCTTGTGGTTTGATTTTAGACGTCAGGCCACAGACTGATTGTTTATTATTTCTGCAAATTGTAAAGAGTCCATTTCTTCACAGGCATTTTTATTTACCATTCATCCTTTCAAACAAGGCAAACCTTGGCCTCCTGGGTTCCTGTGGATACAGAGAACAAAGTAACTTTTTTCTGGCTCTCTTATAACCTCTTCCTGTTCTGCCCCATTTTCTTGTATTTCCATTTGTGCACTGTTGTTCCGATCTGTACACACCTCATTGCTCCCTCACGTGCACAGCTGCTGTCCCACTGTCCCCCTGCCTCCTGCCCCCAGCCCCACGCTGCTCTCTTGTCTTTTCCTGTGCTATTTCCTTTGTCTGCAACAGGACAAAGGATTTCAAATTCAAAATAGTATTTTAGATTCAAATCTTACCCATCTTTGAAGATTCAGGATAAGGCTGTAAAGTTTTCTCAGCTGACATCTGTTCTGTGTTATCCCTCTCTCGATGGCTTTGGCTCTTAGTCTACACCTGAGATGGAAGCATTTCACTGTACTGTCATTTGTTTTGTTGCAGGAAAATGGACCACAAGAAGATAGTCTTGTCCCAGGTCTTGGGCATGTCCCTGGGATGTGCTCTGCTAAGTGAGGGTCCCTGTCTCGCGCAGGAAAGAATTTAAGAGTGAGCCATAGTAAACTGAAAGCATGTTTATTAAGGGAGAAACACACTCCACAGACAGAGTGTGGGCTGTCTCGGAAGGCAAGAGAGTCCTGGAAAATGGGGTTCTCTTAGGTGGGGTGGGGGTTTCATTTTTAGGGGCTCTGTAAATTCGTATGTGAACAAGTGGGACGATTATTCCAAGTATTTTAGGTGAGGGGCAAAGATTTCCAGGAATTGGTCCCTGCCCACCTTTTTGCCTTTTATGGTCAACCTAGGAACTGTCATGGTGCCTGTGGGTGTATCATTTAGCATGCTAATGTATTACAGTGAGAGTACAATGAAGCTCAAGGTCTACTGGAAGTTGCATCTTCTGCCATCTTGGGCTGAGTTGGTTCTAACTAGTTTATGTCCCATCCTCAATTGCTGCGTCATTCTTTTTAATAGTTGTGCTCTGCCCCATTTCCTCCTGTCCCAATATTAACTGTTTATTTTTTACTCCTTATCACATGTTTATTTATTTTTTAGGTTTTAAAAGTAGCCTTATTGAGGTGTAACTTGCATTCCATAAAATTCATCCATTGTAAGTGTACAATTTGCTGATTTTTAGGAATTTTATAGGGCTGTACAGCCATTATCACAGTTGTAGAACATCTCCATCACTTCAAACAGTTCCTTTGTGCCCACCCATTGGCAGTTAATCCTCACTCTCCTAGCCAGCCCCAGGCAACCACTGATCTGCTTTCAGTCTCTACAGATTTGCCTTTTCTGGATATTTCTTGTAAATGAAATCACACAATAGGTAGCATTTTGTGTCTTAGTTCTTTCACTTACCATAGTGTTTTTAAGAGTTATTGATTTGTGGCATCTATCAATAGTTGCTCTCTTCTTATATCACTGAATATATTCCATTTCATGGCTGTGCCACATTTTATTTATCTACCTTCAATTGATGGACATTTGTATTGTTTCCAATTTGGGACTATTATGGATCATGCTGTAATGAATATACAAAGACAGGGTTTTGTGTAGACAATACTTTCATTTCTCTTGAGCAGACTCCTAGGAGTGGATTTAATGGCTTTTCCCCCCTGAATATGGGTCACAACCTATTCTGTTTCTTTACGTATCTTTTTGTTTTTTGCTGAAAACTGGATGTTTTAGATCATGTATTTGAGCAACTATGGATTCTGGATTCCAACTTTTTCCCTCTAGAATGTTATTCTTGCTGTTTTGTATTATCTTTTTGTTTAGGACCTTATCTGGAACAAATCTGTGAAATTCATGCTGCGTCTCCTTGGTATACAGCCAGTGATATCTCTGCTCATATTTTTTTTTTTTAGTTCTGTTTTCATTTTTTTAGACTAATCTCTTAGGGTTGTCTCTGTGTTTTCATAGTTTAGTGATCACGCAGTGATTTGTCAGAGGTTGTGTTCAAGCACTTTGAGCCAGTACAGCCTCCATCTTCTACCGGTGATTCTGTTTGTGAGTGTATTCATTTCCTGGAGCTGACATAACAAATGTCCCCAAAATTGGTGGTTTAAAAACAACAGAAACTTACTGTCTCACAGTTCTGGAGACCATAAGTCTAAAATCAAGATCTTAACAGGGCCATGCTTCCTCTAAAAGCTCTAGACGAGAATTTTACCTTGCCTCTTCCAACGTTCTGGTGATTCCTAGCAATCCTTGGTGTTCCTTGGCATGTGGCTCCACCACTTCAGCCTATGCTTCTGTCCTCACATGTCATTCTTCTCTGGGCATCTGTGTGTGTGTGTCCTCTCCTCTTATAAGGACATCAGTTATTGGATTAGGACAAAACAAATCCAGGAGAAAATCATCTTGATCCTTCCCTGATTATATCTACAAAGACCCTATTTCCAAATAAAGTCACATTCTGAGATTCTGGGTGGTCATGAATTTTGGAGGGGCTAGTCCACTGACCTGTGGCTTGTCCTAGTTAGAACTGTAGTCTTGGGCTAGCAGAACCTCTGACCTTCACTGTTGGTTTGCTTCTGAGATTGCTGCTTATTCCTGGTAGTACCACTGACCAAGATTTGTTTGTTTGTTTTCTGCTCCAAATCAAATCAGCCCCCACTGCCAGTGAAGTGGCTGTTATTTAT